CCCAGCCCTAATAGTCAATAGGGTATATTAGCAATCTAGATCTAGCAGCCTGCTTTCTCTAACCACAATCTTAAGTAGCCTGCAACTGCAACAGATCTTACGTTTTTGATAGCAACCCCCATCTCTCAAGCGCAGAGCTTTCTCCTCCAGCCAAAACCCGCTGTTTGACGTACATGATTTACTGGCAAAATCTAATGGTAAACCCGATGATTGAGAGAAGCCTAAGGAAGCTTCGAGTTTGACTGATCCAAGCGAGAGAAGAGATGATAGGACGCATCCATCAAGAGTCATTCCAGGCCTAATTCAGCGGGTGATGGCGTGGAAGTGATGGTGCGAATGAATTCCTTCTGCTGTTCTGCATCATGGTCGTGCCTTTGGCCTTCAGATCTGCATCTTTGGGCGGACGAATCCACCGTGGTACAGTATTGGTATTGGTGGAGTCTTTCCGCCTTTAGATCTATATCGCACGCACTCATCCCTCCCTAGATCTACGTTCCGAGCCAGCCAACCATCCACAAACTGAGTACTGTAGACGCTGTGCGCAGGCTCAAGCCTTGGCCGCTCTGCTTGGTTTTCAACGAACATGTTTTGAAAAGCAGCAAACAAGGTTACAACCTATCATTATTTCTTATTTACAAAGTTTCCATTTTTTCAATTTTTGATGGCTATTATTTGTTATTTTCTTTAGATCTATCAAGGAAAAGTGAAAGAAAGCATCCGGGTGGAGCAGGAAGAAACAGAACGGTTCTGTTGCCAGTGATTGTGCCTATGAAACAAACCTTTACAGGGGGCTACAGGGAAACTTGTGAGATTTCTGCTATATTTTTAATTTTATTTTTTTTTCTTCTTTTCAAACTTTTAGTATGCATTAAAAAAATGATAATGATAGAACCAGTGTTGCAGAAGGCCCGAACCTCGTGCTTACATTCTATTTTTATTTAATGTTAAAAAAAAAATCCAAAATAATGTTAAAAAAATTCCAATTTAAAACCAGAAAAGCAAAACTAGATAGATGGATAGATAGAAGTATCGGATTTAAGATTAATGAAATTTTAAAAACATAAAGAACACATCCTAATTTAGTAACAGTGATAAAATAGTTAAGAGTGAATCTTTCAATCAAAATGGAGTGACACTGAACAGTGATATTAGTAGCAGAAAGCAGCTATTATAAAAAATTTTTGGTTAAATTATGCATGAGATCACCAACCGTGCAACATAAAGGGTTCAAGAATACATCAATTCTTTTCTTTCATAACAAAATTTAACCCATAATTTAACCACTTGATTGAATAACCCAAAAAGATTATACTTACTGATCTCAACGAAGTTTACTTTCTTCTAAATTATTTATACATGGAACAAAACAAACATATCAAGTGTTCAACTATCTTTCATAGAAAACTAAGTGTGGCGATAAAGAAAAAAAAAAAAAATCAAAAATCCCAATGAAAATCAAATAACTAAACAATAAACTTTTAGAATTCAACCAATACAAAGAACATGTTGTAGAGAAATGAAAATAAAAGGACACTTTGTAACTTAATTAAACATAGCAAAGAATCCTATGAACAATGAGAATCCCTTGATGTTGCTGCATCCCCCAAACTCCTTTAGAAAAACACTAACAACTATATAAAGATTCAAGTTCCTAGATTTCCTTCCATCTCTTAAACTCCAAAACCTTAAAAACCAATTCAACATACTGAAGAATCAAATGAAGCAAATAATCAAGTAAGTAACAAAAACTGCAGCACAAAGTCTCAAAAAATAATGAAAAGGATCAATAAAGGAGATCCTTAATTGGTTAAACAAGGATTTGAATACGCTACTGTGGATCGTGAAATCAAAGCCCTAACCACTAAGAAGCTTAAAGCACTGAAATTGGAGAAACTTACTGGAAAGGATTGATTCAAAGTAGAAGCACAAGAATTGATTCAAGCTTTTGCTTCAAAATCAGAGAAACCAGGATTGAACTAATTAGAGAAATTTTGAGAACTAACTAATATGAGTAGGAAAGCTTGGGAGGAGAAATTTTGAGTGAATAAAGGATCAGATTTGAAGAGTGGAAGTGTAAAATTTGAGGGAGGAAAGAAGATTTTTGCTGAGAAATGGAATGGCGAGGGAAAATGAAATCTACCGGGAGGTTTGCTCATTTTTTTGGATAAATATAGCATTTTAATTAAAACATTAGAAATTGAAAACCAAAAAGTGCAGCGTTTTTGGAAAAAACGCCATCGTTAATGTATTAAATATGGCGTTTATATAAAACATTGAAGTCGATAATGGCACGAGAAAACCCACCCAACAAATGCCAGCGTTTCTACAAAACGCTGGTTAAAAAATGCAATCTTTAAAGATTTTTCTTGTAGTGACACCCTAATTTAGTAATAGTGATAAAATAGTTAAGAGTAACTCTTTCAATCAAAATGGAGTGACACTGAACAGTGTTATTAGAAGCAGAAAGCAGCTAATAGCAAAAAGGCAATAGCTTGCTGCATCACATACTCTAGATGTCAAGATTAAGAGGTTGATGGTTGGTTTAATACCCACCAGATTTGATAGTGTCTAATACATTATACAAATGTGCATATAATATTTTAATTCAAAAAATGGAAGATAAGAGAATTGGATAAAGAAAGCACATATCAAGGGGACAACAACACACATATTACTCATCTATTTTTGTCTTTTTAAAAGAAATAATAAATAGTGTGAATGGCAGCCGCTATCCACAATGTGGATTGTGGCTGCTATGGTGGTCTATATTCAAGGAAACAAAGATTGAAAATCCAAAATTGGTCTATATTCAAGAAAACAAACATTGAAATGCAAAATGGAACATGATTATGACATACTTTAACAGAATGTCAGGATTACCCAACTGTACTGGTAATCCGCCATGCTATGACTGTTATCATTTTTGGGGAGCTATGGAGTGCTATGCCATGGACACTATAGCACCATAGCAGGCGCTCTTGATAAAACTGACAATGAAACCAGAATGCAAGAAACAAGAATGGAAAAGGCATAAGAAAACCGAACTCACTGCCAGCTACTTAAGGAATCAGAGCAGGGTGAATGTCAACCAAAGTTTTCAAACAAACTCGAAGAAGTAACCTACAAACATAACGAGAAATGCAAGAAACAAGAATGGAAAAGGCATTAAAAATTAAGATCAAAGTCTGCCAACAACTTACATCAACCTAAGTTTTCAAACAAACTCGAAGAAGTAACCTACAAACATAGCAAGAAATGCAAGAAACAGTAATGGAGTAATGGAAAAGGCATTAACAAAACAAACCAAACTCACTGCATTTCTTCCTAATTCTAGATAGCTGTCATTTCCCCTTCTTGCCTTTCTTCCCCATCTGCTTCGTTTTCTTCCCTTCCTTGGCGGCAGTCTTGATCTGCTTAGCGTTCTTGTTCTTGCCTTCCTTGCCCTTCTTGCCTTCCTTGCCCTTCTTTGCCTCCTTTGGCTTTGGCTTTGCCTTTGCCTCATTCACTGGTGGTTGGACCTTGCCCCTGTTGTGGGCATCTTGGTGTTGACCTGACTCTTCAAGATTCTTGGAATCCTTGCCGCATCTCCAGCAATATACGACGGTAGATTTGAGATCCTTGCGGTTGCCGTTGAACGGATTCATGGTTGAACCTAGGGTTTTCTGTGCAGGAGTGAAGTTGTAAGAGTGTTTGGCGAAATGGGTTTTTATGAAATGTTTGGGTTTTTTTGTTTCTCCTTTTTACGTCGTCCTTTATGTTCATTTTAAAGGATTTACAATTGTAAAAAGATGTAATAATACCTTTAGGCTCAAATAAAAAAGTATATACCCTTAATTCGTGGCTCTTTTAAATAATTGTTTTTTTTTAACTTGCATGTAAGTGTTTAGGAAGTTTTTTTTTTTTTTTATAATTGATTTTTATAAAATTATAAATATTGACCTGGTTTAATTAATTAATTAAAGTTATATACATATCTGTGTTAATATAAATGTAAATTTTTATATTTTTAATATAAATTAATTATAAAATAATATATTCATTACATTTTAAAGGTACAAGTTAGATCATTTTTAAATGATATTTTTATCTTAAAATAAGTGTTTTTTTTCTTAAATTAAAGATTTAGAGAATAATTATATTTATTTATAATATCTTTAAAAATAAAATAAAAAATAAAGAGTTTTTTTTTTGTAATTAAAGAATTAATTAAAGTGAATGAATAATGATAGGATTAAAATAAAAAATTATTTGTATTTTTTAAAAATTAAAAATAATAATTAAGTTGAGATAAATTTTAAATTAAAAAATAAATAGTTATTTTGAGATGGAAGGATAGACAAATTTAATTGAAATTTTACCTATAGTTACTATACTTAATATCTATTTATTAATACTAATTTTATAAAATAAAAAATAAAGAGTTTTTTTTATTAGATAATTAATTAAAGTGAATGGATAATGGTAGGATTAAAATAAAAAAATATTTGTATTTTCTAAAAATAAAAGATAATAATTAATTTGAGATAAATTTTAAATTAAAAAATAAATAGTTATTTTGAGATGGAAGGATAGACAAATTTAATTTTCAATCTAAATGTGGGGAATGTTAGGAACTCACTCTTTAGCAATATTTTTTTTGTGATTTACTTAAAACATAAATTTAATGTAATTGGTAATCAATGATGGACATTAAAGTTAATGTTTTTAAATTTAAAATTATGATAATCACATGAAATTTACATTTGGTATTTTTCATTCACATAAATATGTATATATAAATGGAGAAGTAGGGAGTGTCATTGGCTTTCTTCTTTAAAATATCACGAAGTCTTCTAAATTCTAAGAGGCATGCTTGGTAGAGTTTCTTGACATTTTTATTTTTTCTATTGGGTATGAGTAATAAGTTTAAATTTTTGTTGGAGAAAAAATTTAAAAGTTGTTACTAGAGATAAAAAAAAGTAAGTAAAAATTGAATAAAAAAAAAGTTTATAAAAAATAAGAGTTTAAAGGTTTTTTAGTTTTTAAGATTTTTTAAGGTAAAAAAATTTTAAAAAATTTAAATTTATAAAATATAAATAGTGGTAAAAAGTTTACGTTTTCTTAAAAGCTGAGCGGCATTAAATCCTTTGGGCTTAGACAAAGTGAGTTGACTGGGGTCAATACTTTGGGCCTAGACAAACCCATCAAGGTAA